GCCGTGTCCCGAGCCCGGCTCAGGGGCCGGAGTGGCCGCCGCGGAGCCAGGCTGCCTCCAGGGAGCGCCCGGGCACAGAAGGGTTAACGGGCCGCCGGGGCCCGCGCAGAGCAGGTACAGACCCCTCCGGGACCACCCCCCTCCCCGGCCCCGGCCGCCCTCTCTCCCCGGTCCCGTTAGAGCCCCCGCCGCGCGCGCCCGCGCCGCCCCCCCCCCCCCCGCTCCCCGCGCCCGCGGTCGTGCCCCAGCCGCGACCCCAGCCCCAGCTCTGTAGCCTCGGAAGATCTTCCAGTTCCTGGGGTCGAATTCCTGGGGAGGGGGCTCTGATCCCGTGGAACTGTGGCCGCATCACCCGGGCGGAGAATCAGCCAAAATTCCTACTAAGTCATGGAGTAAAGTTGGAAAACGTACCCAGGACCTCCCCGCACGCGCCGGCGCCTCCTGCCCTCCTCCTCTAGGAGGGTGCTCCTTTGAGGATGTGTGCCCCTGCCACCCCCTTAAGTCCTGGAGTTGCGGCCAGGGACGCTGGGAGGGTTGCCGAGGGGTGCCCTTGATCCAGCTCAGCCTGATGACTAGAAAGGAAGGACACCTGTTTGGATGGTCCTCCAGGACCCAGGAACGGAGGGCACAGTGAGGACCAAGGCGTTCTGACCCAGGACAGGGACTCCTCAACCAGCCCTGAAACATGCCGTCCCACCCCCTCCCCCTGCAGCAGCAACCCATTTCCCAGGAATGGGTCCCTCTGGGGGTGAAGGGGTTAGCCCTGCCCAGGCCTCTCCTTGATCCTCACCAGCCAGTGTGGCGGTATGGCCAGGAGGAGCCCAGGTTTGTCCAGACCAGTGTCCAGCCTGGCAGCGGGGTGACCACTTCTGACCTCTCCTTTCCTCACCCTGGGCAGTGAGACACACCAGATGAGGAACATGAAAAGGGGTGAGGAGCACAAATGTGTGTCTGTTTCTGCAGTGGAGGGGGTGTCAGCCCCCTGCCCAGCTGTGCAGGGGTTGGGGTAGGACTTTTCCAGAGAGGGAGCCAGGCCTGGCCAGGGCTCCAGGAGTTCACGTCACCCCCACCCCCCACCCCTCACTTCTCCAGGGAACTGCCAAAGCCAAACCCAGATCAGGACAGGATTATGTGTACTGGGTAGACCCATAGAGAGAGACAGCAAGATACAGACCCCGGGAGGGGGGGCGGGGGGGGCAGAGAGAAGCAGAGGCCGAGAGGGAGTGGAGAGGGTACCCAGCAGTAGAGAAGGGGCAGACAGTGACCATCACCACCATCTCTCCTCTTCAGCCTCAAGCAACAGAGTCAGGCAGAGAGCTGAAGGTTTGGGTGGACCGTTGGCCCTTCTCTGGAGCCCCTACGCCCCCATTAGGGTGGAGCTGCTGACCTCAGTGGCCAGCCCAGCCAGGGGAAGGAGCGGCCATCAGCAACCCCTTCCCAACCCAAAACAGCTGAGGTGACCCTGTGCATTCAGATGCAACCTCTGCAAACTCTCCCTCAAACTTCCAAGTCTTGGGGTCTCAGGGAGGGGAGTGGGGCTGAGGGTGTTGCTACCCCCAAGTACATTCCTGCCCTTCCCTCTGTCATTTTCCTGCCCCTGAGCTGGCCCACCTCGGCATTAGCTCCTTGGATTCCTCTCCCGGGTGCCTTTCAGATCCAACAGAAACATTTTTTTTTTTCCTGGAAAGCAGAACTGAGAGCGGGTTGGGGAGTGGGGGTGGGAAGGGCTCACGCGAGCAGCAGGGGGCTTTGAGACCAGGGTAGGACTCCCAGCTCCACTTCCCTGATGATGAAAGCTAGACTTCAGGATGGACTTCCTGGCTCCCCAGAATGATAGGCCTGTGGTTGGGGAGCAAGGGCAGCTCTAGCTGCATCTCTCCTTCCCAGGTTCCCCCAGCCCCTCATCACTGGGCCTGAAATAAGCCTCACTGAACCAATGCCCAGGGACTCTGGCCCCTAGAGGGAGGTTAAATAAAATGGGAAAATCACCTGCTTCTCTAGAGATTAAACCATCAGTCCATTTAGTTTATTTCTTGCTAGAAAGTGTTTCGAGGCGGGCAGAGATGCGCCTGAGTGTTCCAGAAGGAGCTTAGTTAAAAAAGGGAAGAAAAGCCTGGGAGTCAAGTCAGAAAAGGAAAGCCCAAGGGGGTTCCGGTCAGCTCCTCAGAGTGGGTATCGGCATGTCCTCACCCATGCCTCCCTCAACTGTACAGGACCTCTGGAAGGGCAGGACGCAAACCAGATGAAAAATCATCTTAAGGAAGACGCATGTGCCTGTGTGGCCTGAGCCGGCCTGGAAGCAGGCCCCAGTGGGGAGGAGGGAGGAGCTGAGGAGTTCCTGCAGGCTGAGGGGAGGGGACTGTGCCCCCGTCGGGAGGCTGAGGTCAGACCCCCACCCTCTAGCCTCAGCGGTCGGGAAAGGGCAGCATTCCTTCCCGCTCTCACCCTTAGGGTCATAAAGGGGTGGGCCACACTTCCCCCACCCCTCCATCCTCACTCGGAGATGCCCTTCTGAGGAGCCATCCCCGCCAACCCCCAGCTTTCTGGAGACAGGAGAGGTAACCACCAGGCTTCTGTCCCCACAGAGCGCGCCCCCTCCACACCCAGATGCCTGAGTAGTGTGTTTACTTCCGGTCCCCTCTCCCCGGCCCGGGGCGTCGAGGGAGGAGCGATGGAGAAGTGGGCGGGCAGGTAAGTGTGGGGCTGCCGGCCGGAGGGGCGGCTCTGTCCCTGGAAGGGAGGGAAAGGCCATTACTGGGCGGGGCGGGGGCAAGTGATGGGAAACTTCTGCTTTCTGAGAAGCTAGCCTCAGGATGTGGGGAGCCTGCTGCGGGGGAGGGGGTGTCATAACACCTCGTCTGGCTGGTTTGCAGGCCCCGGTTGTGTCTGATGCTGCTTCTGTCCCTCCCTGAGCTCTGCCTGGATCAGGAGGTAAGCCAGGGACCAGAGGTTGTGCGCCTGTCATCCTCCTTGGCGCCCACCCCACTTCTCCAGGCCAGGCGTCGGACTGGCCATTCGCGCAGCTTCTGATGAGCCAGGGCGCCTTTCACATTTGCCTTCCTCCCACCCCCCAACTCACTGACTCCTTGCCAAATTAGGTCAAGTCTCACCTCTGCTATTGAATGTGACCTTGGACCAGTAACAGCCTGCCCCGACCCTCCGGTACTGGACTAGATACCCTGTAGAGTTCCCTCGAAAATCCTTCTAATTTTGTCTGATCTTTTTGTCCACACAGGTGTTGTCTGGACACTCTCTTCAGACACCCCCTGAGGAGGGTCAGGGCCCTGAGGGTGTCTGGGGTCCTTGGGACCAGTGGGCCTCTTGCTCCCAGCCCTGTGGAGTTGGGGTGCAGCGCAGGAGCCGGACCTGTCAGCTCCCTACAGCTCAACTCCACCAGGGCCTGTCCTTCCCACCCCGGCCCCCAAGACATCCAGAAGCCCTTCTACCCCGGGGTCAGAGCCCCAGACCTCAGACTTCCCGAGAAATCCTCCCCCTGTACAAGCCACAGCCTCGGGGAAGAGGTGGCCCACGTCGAGGTCCTGCTTCCCAACTAGGGAGAGCAGAGACCCGGGAGATTCCAGGAGCTCGGAGGTGAGGGGTGGGGCTTCGAGGGGAGGGCGGGGCCTCGGGTGAGGGGCGGGGCTCGGGAATGAAGGAGAGGGAGCAAAGGTGCTTGGCTTAGGGAGGATTATCTTTGGTGTTAGGAAGCAGGCTGGGGAGGCAGGTCGGAGTCGGCCAGAGCTGTGACCCCATGTCTGCTACACCTTCTCAGGTCCCGGGTTCGAGACTCCATCAAGCCCGGAATGTTTGGTTATGGGAGAGTGCCCTTTGCTTTGCCACTGCATCGGAATCGCAGGCACCCTGGGGGGCCGCCCAGAGCTGAGCTCTCCCAGGCGTCAGATCTTCCATCCCTGACTCCAAGGACAGAACCAGCCTCCATAAACCACACAGCTCAAACTCAGCTCCCTCCTACAGAACTTTCTGCCCACTCCCCACCACCCCCTGCAGAGCCCCCAAGCCCTGAAACTGCTCAGATGGAGGTGCCCTCTAGAACCAGGCCTGCCCCCACACGGCCCCACCCCAGAGCCCAGGCCTCTGGCACAGAGCCCCCCTCATCCATCCCCTCCCCAGGAGAAAGTAGCTCCTTCCACGTGTCCCCTCAGCCAAGAACGCCAGATTCCCAGGGTTGGGCCAGTCTCCGGGTGGACGAGAGGCACCCTAATCCTTTCCTTTCTGTCCCTCGGGGCAGAGGCCACCAGAGCCAGGAGCACTGGAGACCTGGGGGGAATCTTCATGGGTCCCTCACGGAGTCTGCCTCCCACTACCCAGATGGCTGGTTGCCTCTGCTGAGTGATGGCCCCCACTCCAGTTCCCTCTGGAGCCTCTTTGCTCCCAGTAGCCCTGTCCCGAGATGTTCTGGGGAGAGTGAGCAGCTGAGAGCCTGCAGCCAAGCGGTGAGTTCTTCCTTGGACCATCCCCTCCCCAGACTTGCAATTCTGTTTCCCTGACCCTGAGTCTGGGTCCTCAGCTTGTCAGATCTGGACCTGAGGGCAAAGGGCCTTGGCGTCTGACCTCCTCAGGGTAGGGGCCTTTGAGCTCTTCCACAGACCTGACCTCCCCTCCCACGCCCCCAAAGCCAGCCCTGACCCACACCCCCATTTTCCTCCCCAGCTTTGACTCCTCTGTATCCCCCACCTCAGCCCTGCCCCCCTGAGCAGCCAGACCCCCGGGCCCTGCAGTGTGCAGCCTTTGACTCCCAGGAGTTCATGGGCCAGCTGTACCAGTGGGAGCCCTTCACAGAAGGTGAGGTTTCTAGCCCACCCGCCCTGGGAAGCTGAGCTGGCTTCGGACTGGGAGATGATGGGGAGAGGGAGACCCTTTTTTTCTGTAGACCCTTGCATTTCCCCTCTGTGTAATATTTTCTTTCTTATTTCTCAGGGTTGGGGTGAAGAGACAGCACAGGCCAGGAAAGGGGCGTGGGTTTCAGACAGGGCCCAGCAGTCAGATGGTGATGGATAACCCAGTGGAGGGATCAGGCTGGGAGACAGAGTGCCCAGAGGTGCCCTTTGGCTGGCTTCCTCTGGGAAGAAGCCTGTCCCAGGAGGTGGGGTGGGCATGACACGAGAAGGGCCTGGTCAGAGAGACCCTGTCCGGTGGTGACAGCAGGGTGGGGCTGGCTGGCGGTGGACCACTTGCTCCCAAGTTACCGTCCACTTGATTTTCAGCCTGTGTCAACCCGATGCCGGGAAGCCCCTCATGAGCTCACATAATCATAGGTTTCGGGTATCTCTTCTCTCTCACGGCTCACAACCCCTTTGCTGATCTCAGTGACCTCAACTGACCTGACTCAACTTTTATGGGACCCTCAAAGCAACGTTTCAGGATATGGAATTGTCCTGTTTCCTTCATCCCTGGAGACTATAGGCGAGCTCAGGATGTTCTGTAGCTAAGATGGGACTTTTGTCAGCCTCCCACCAGGGACCCCAGCTAACCACTCTCCCACCCTGTTTCTTAGTTCAGGGCTCCCAACGCTGTGAACTGAACTGTCGTCCCCGCGGCTTCCGTTTCTATGTCCGTCACACGGAAAAGGTCCAGGATGGGACCCTGTGTCAGCCTGGAGCCCTAGACATCTGCGTGGCCGGCCGCTGTTTGGTGAGAGAGGGTGGAGGGTGTGTGTATGTGCACACCCATGCACACACACGCAGGCATGCAGTCTCCTTAGTCATCACCACAGAGACAAAACACCAGGCTGAGATTGTAAAAAGGAAAGTTCTCACCTGCCCAGCTGGAGGTGAGAGCAGAGCTGGGAGGCCGAATTGCTGGAAGAAACCCCTCAGGCACTTCCCTGCTTTCCTGAGGCTGGCTGGGGATGGTGGGCTGGCATAGGAACATCTTCTCACTCACAGTGTGAAGATCAAGATGCAGGGTGAGCTGGAGGGTCCCAAGAGGACCAGGCTGGGGTGCGGTGGTGTCTGGCTTCAGGCAGCCCCTGCCTCAATCTCCCCCAGAGCCCTGGCTGTGATGGGATCCTCGGCTCTGGCAGGCGTCCGGATGGCTGTGGGGTCTGTGGAGGGGATGATTCCACCTGCCGCCTGGTCTCTGGCAACCTCACGGACCGGGGGGGCCCTCTGGGCTATCAGAAGATCCTGTCGATTCCTGCTGGAGCCTCCCAGCTCCAGATTGCCCAGCTCCGGCCCAGCTCCAACTATCTCGGTGAGCTCTCCAGATTCTCTGAGTCTTGGGTCCGCGTTCCAGTCCTGGTCTCTTGGTTCAGCCCTCCACACCCCCGTTGAGCACAGCAAATGGGCCAAGCAGAGAGAAGTCAGGGGCTCCCTCCCTTGCGGAGGTGGCGGAGGAAGCCGAGAGGGTGCGGGGCATCGGGGGCTCTGTGTGGAGGAGCACGGTGTGACTGACCTCGTGTCCTGACCTCCGATCTCCAGCCCTTCGAGGCCCTGGGGGCCAGTCCATCATCAATGGAAACTGGGCTGTGGATCCCCCTGGGTCCTACTCAGCCAGCGGGACTGTCTTCCTGTACAACCGTCCTTCTCGAGAGGAAGGCAAGGGGGAGAGTCTGTCAGCCAGAGGCCCCACGACCCAGCCTGTGGATGTCTACGTGAGCTTGGGGCCTGGGGAAGCTGGACTGCTGGACGGGGTGGGGGCCTTTCCCTCTGGTGGCAAAGTTGTGGGCCACAAGATGGAGGAGAAGGCTAGTGGTATGCGCCCCCTTACCTCCCCCAGACAATTCATTATCTTCTCTCTTCCCAGGTGATCTTTCAGGAGGAAAACCCAGGCATTTTTTATCAGTATGTTATCTCCTCACTTCCTCCAAACCTTGAGAGCACCACCGCAGAGTCCCACCTCCCCCAGCTCCAGCCGGGTGAGACTGTGCTCCCCAGACCTAGGAGGCGGGGAGGGGCTGAAAGCGGAGCTTCAAGGCAGTGGGGTGTATTTGATTTGCCTACTCAACTGTGCCTGCACAGAGATTTTGAGAGTAGAGCCCCCACCCGCTTCGATGCCCCGCCCTGCCCGGACCCCAGGCACCCTCCAGCGTCAGGTGCGGATCCCCCAGATGCATGCTCCACCCCATCCCAGGACACCCCTGGGTTCTCCAACTGGATACTGGAAGCGAGTGGGACACTCAGAGTGCTCAGCATCCTGTGGAAAAGGTGAGACTTCAGGCACCAGCCGGTATTCCTGGCACCCTTAGCCCAAATCCCTGACTTGGCACTCCTGATCCCACACTCTGGATTGTGGGTCCATACCTCCACTCTGTGCCAGGTCAAATTCCAGTGTCTGGGACCCCACTGACACTGGGCGCTGAGCCACCCTGCCTCTCCTGGCTTCCCTCTCATCCACTTCAGGTGTTTGGCGCCCCATTTTCCTCTGCATTTCTCGTGAGTCAGGGGAGGAACTGGATGAACACAGCTGCGCCGTGGGCGCCAGGCCCCCAGCCCCCCTGGAGCCCTGCCATGGTCCTCCATGCCCCCCATAGTGAGTATGACCCACAGGGAGGGCTAGGGTCCTAGGAACACAAGAGTTGTCCCAGGCAGACACATCCGCACTGCCTTAGGATCTCACCCTGAACTCTGCACCCAGCACGCAAGATCTGGCTGCGGAGGGACAGTGTTTGATTAGAAAGGCTTACATTCCCAGGGCGCCTGGGTGGCTCAGTCGGTTAAGCAGCTGCCTTTGGCTCAGGTCATGATCCCAGGGTCCTGGGATCGAGCCCCGCGTCGGGCTTCCTGCTCAGGGGGGAGTCTGCTTCTCCCACTGCCCGCCCCCGCCCCGCTTGTGCACGCGCGCGCGCTCTCTCAAATAGATAAATAAAATCCTAAAAAAAAAA